AGGGAAGAACAATGAACAGGCTCAGCTTTCGGAAAACGAGGTTGACCCAGAATTACCAGTTCTAGCTTGAAAACTACGGGTGGCAATGGATAATGATGATTAGCCGCACTCCTGTGGAACCAGCTGTCACAATTCAATTTAAACTTCTAAGGAATATTGAAAGTTATTCAGAGGCGTCACTTACTGTGATCTGGAGGTTTGCTGGTGCCTGTGACTAGTCGTGGTCTCATCACTCGAAATCCTGGTGGGTAAATGCCTGACGATCTTCTTCGTGGAATTCTTGTCATCCTTGTGGTCGAAAACTTCGCTTGGTACGTCTGAAATTCAGCCTATCAGCCACTGCTTTCTTATTAACACATATTCAGTTTATTCTTTATCCTAAGTCACTCTTTCATTCGATGATGGGCTACTTCAAGGTTTTACCCAAAACACTTCACACCGCGTGGGATTCAAACGGAGCAATCCGAAATAATGAGTTTTTTTCACAGGTCTTTTAAATGAATAAAAGTGAACTGGTCTACCAGATGGCAAGGCATGATAAATAATATTATAAATAGAAATAATGTATTTTTATGGGTTGGGTGGGTTGGGTTTGCATCAAAAATGGGTTTTGTATATAATCATAAATATTAGCGTCCAAAAAACTTGCTTAACGTGAATTCTAGTTTAAATACCTAAATTTTTCCATAGCAAATTTTACTAATTTTCAATCCCCGTTTATCTTTTCTTACCAATTCTGCTCAATTCCAATGCAAACTGATTCCGACTAACCTTTGATCTAATTGGCGAATCGCATAGGAAAGTAGCATCAGATGGAAGCGGCGAGTCCAACAGCATCTAGAAAAACAGCCTATATAAACACTAAAAATCCTGGAAATGGGTGCAAAACCTACCGTAATCTCTATAGACGCTGATTAGGCGCTCGTTCATGGTCCGAGTCTTTTATAGCGCTCATTCTAAGAACTAGGACAGTTACTGACAACCTCGCTTACTCTTGGCAGTATTCTCAGCGACAGCGTGCTTCGGGTAGACAGCCATCTTGGGAACGACAATCTACCATGACCGGCGGCATCTCGCACCTCCCGCTGGGTCATGATCTACCCAGTGGGATTTAGTACGGGTTTTGCATCGATGCATCTTCATGGGAGAAAATGTCAACAGATAAGTCGGAACGTCCCGTGTCGAATGTGAAGAACGCTTCTACTAAAAATCTCTCAATTTAGCTGGAATTAAACTTGAAATCCTCTTCCCCCTACAATATTTTTGGAACTCAATGAATTTTTGTTCGAATCCAACTTATTCCTTCAAATGAAAATCACTGACGAAAACTTCTGGTGATTGTGTGCTAGACAATTTTTGTGTTT